TTGTGGAGGACGCTGCCTCACTGGCCCAAGTTGGTACCATCATTGCGCTCTTCCCTGGCGAGGCAGATCAGTTGCCGGCTTCTGGACGGCCGCTCACTGCGGCTGCTGGCCGCTCACGCTGGCTGCCGGCCACACACGGTAGCCCATGGCAACCCACTGCCACAGGGACTGCAGCCCACGCCGTCGCCAGCAACCCATGGCAGCCCAGCTCCAGGTCGAGCTGTCGTTCAGCATCTTAGCTGTAGAGGGCAGTGCCACTGGCCCTCATATGTGGGATCTGAACCGGGGCCCTCTGGCATCCCAAGCGAGCTCCCAACCATTGCGCCACTCGGCCGGCCCTACCCTAGTTTATTCTTAAACTAAAGTCTACTCCACATCAATAATTGTCCTTCTCTATCATTTATCTCATGTACTGTATACTTAATTATCTTTTTTTCTCAATTAACACTGTTTCTAAAGGGGCTCCAGGGTAGAGAGGAATAAATGCATTTGTGCCCTGACTTCTAACCTTTTGGTTTAGAAGTTGTGAAAAGGCAGCTTTGAAAGAGGAAAGAGTGATAAGGTGATGTTTAAGGACAGTGTCTAACTTGTAAGTGGATTGGGTGTGGAAGGGGCTGGTATCACCAGGTAGAAAAGCAGCACTGACATTTTGGCACCATCTGGTGTTATCCCCATCTTCTCCATTTACTGTTTTCCATTTTTATCCACTTTTTTATTCAAAAAATAATTGTTGAGCCCATATTATATCCAGGCTGTGTGCTGGTTGTGGGACAACACAGGCAGCAAGGCACAGCTTCTGACCTGCAGGATCTAGGAATTCTTAGAGAGTTAACAAGTGAATGTGGATGGAAGGCGATTCTAGTCGGAGAAAGGCGAGGAGTGGGAGTGTGTGGGGGTTGGGGAATACAGCTCTGTTTTGGCTAAAGTCTGTGGACTGCAGAAAGATAACATGTTGGACAGTAAGGTAAGACCCCATCACATGTCAAGGAGTTGACTTTCATATTGGAGATCCTACCACGGGTTATCAAACACCAATGGCCCCACTTGTCACCCTGGCCGTTGCCATGAATAAGCTGAGCAAAGAGGCCTAGCAGAGGCTGCAGCAGAGCAGCTCAAGGGCAGTTTGCCATCTGCTGGGGCTTTGTTTGTTTGTGATTCACTTGGAATTTAAGAGGAGTGCAGATCCTGAAATGCCTGTTTTGAGCCTGCTTTGGAGTCAGAGGACCATTTGGTCATCTGGATTTGGAAGCAGTCAATGAATAGGAACACCATGGAATGCATGTGCTCTGACTAAAAGCAGAAATTGCACATTATTCAGATATTCGCCACTTGGATGGGACTTCATGGATGCACCTGTGGCAGAGTGCAACCTCAACTGACTTACTTGAGATAGGCTTTATAAAAAAAATACTTCTAATAATGAAAAAACAAAATTTTTAAAACCCAGGCTGGGGTGAGGGGTGGAGGAGGTGGTGAAGGGGCTGGCCTTCGAGCGACAGCTGCACAAGATAGCAGCCTCCATGGACTCGGGAGTAAAAGTCCCTTGCAATTTCCGACTGTTGGAAGAACTCAAAGAAGGCCAGAAAGGAGTAAAAGATGGCACGGTTAGCTGGGGTCTGGAAGATGATGAAGACATGACACTTACAAGATGGACAGGGATGATAATTGGGCCTCCAAGAACAATTTATGAAAACTGAATACACAGCCTTAAAATAGAATGTGGACCTATATACCCAGAAGCACCCCCCTTTGTAAGATTTGTAACAAAAATGAATATGAATGGAGTTAATAGCTCTAAATGGAGTGGTGGACCCAAGAGCCATATCAGTGCTAGCAAAATGGCAGAATTCATGTCGCATCAAAGTTGTCCTGCAAGAGCTTCGGCGCCTAATGATGTCTAAAGAAAATATGAAACACTCTCAGCCACTGGAAGGACAGTGTTACAGCAATTAATCAAAAAGAAAAACCACAGGCCCTTCCCCCTGCCCCCATTCAATTTAAGCAGTCTTCATTTTCCACAGTAGTAAATTTTCTAGGTATGTCTTGTAGACCTCAAAGTACTGGAAAGGAAGCTCCTGTTCAAAGGCAGTTTATCTTAAGATACTGTAAGTGATATTAATTTTTTGTTCATTTAAAATATATAAGTTGTGCTATAACAAAACAAACAAACAAAAAAAAAACCCCCAGGCTCCCTTTCTTTAGGTTAATAAGGAATTGTCTCTATTTTACTGATGAAGGCAATAAAGTTCAGAGATGTTAAGCAACTTTCCCAAAGTCACACAACTTTCATGGGTCTTTTTTGGGAACATGAAAGAACTCACAAAGCCACATGTTTAATATGCCTCTGTTCCAAAAGGGAGGGTTAGTATGAGTTACAATGGGATCTTCATAAACTAATTGACCAATACATTTCATAAATAATGACACCTACAAATAGTTTAGTATTTCTTTTAATTTATTTGTCCTCAGGTCAGGGAGTAATTTAAACAGGGACACTGTTTAGATTTCATTCATCCATAAACACCCATTACATAGAAAGTATGGGGCTAGGATTATTCAGTGAAGAATAAACAGTACATGCTTTCTCTTTTTCTTGTATGCATGCTAATATAGTCCTAAAATGAGTTCTGTATTCCATCAAGGTCATCAAGCCTATCCATTTTGACATCAAGCTGTGCCTATTACCCAATATAAGGCGCATATATATATATATATATATATATATATATATATAATTTTTTAAAGTAGTTTTAGGTTCACAGCAAAATTATGGGGGAATAACAGAGGTTTCCCATATACCCTGACAAGAAAAAAAATTATGAGATGTTCAAAATTAAATGACAGCTACCAGAGAGTGAGAGAATGAGATAGAGCTGTCAGTTTGTTAATGGCTGCTGATCAACTAACAAAAAACTTCTCACATTCCTGTTTTGCCTGTTGGAATTTGGATTAATTTCCAGGTAGCTTGGTCCGCAAATTATTTTAGCCAGACACTATCTAACCCCAGGAGCCTCTGCTTGTTTACATGGAGGCTTTCTGGATGGCTGCCCCAGCTAATCCACAGGAACGGACGCTTCTTTATGTGGACTCTGCTATCCCAGAACTGTCCTCGCTTCACCTTCCTCCACGCCTCAACTATAGCTCAGGTGAATTCTTTTAGATTGCCTCCTTCTTCCCACTTTCCCCCACTGATGTATAAAAACACCTGCAAAACTCTAGGATGGCAGATATGTTGTCTTTTTGACCTAGCCATGCTGCTGGTGGTTTACGCTCCATGCCCCAAGATCTATCTTTGGCTTAATAAAACCTTACTTATAAAAAAACTTTCAGCTGTGGAAGTTAAAATGTTTAGTTTAACAATCTCCTTCCCCTACCACATGCATAATTTTCCCCATTATCAACATTCCCCACCACAGTGGTACAATGGTTATAACTGATGAACCTCCACTGACGTATCATTATCACCCAAAGTCCACAGTTTACATTAGGGTTCACTCTCGGTGTTGTATATTCTATGGGTTTGTAGAAATGTATAATGACACGTAGCCATCATTATGGTATTACATGGAGGAGTTCACTGCCCTAGAACTCTTCTGTTCCGCCTATTCATCCCTACCCACTCCCAATTCCTGGCAACCAAAGATTTTTTTACTGTTTCCACAATTTTGCCTTTTCCAGAATGTCATATGGTTTCGAATGATATAGTATGTAGCTGTGATATTGTGATTTATAATAAGAAATCTACATTTGGTCTTCATCCAGTTCCTGGCACAGAGCTCCTAAAACCCTCAGTATTTCCTAAGTGAGGAGAGCAACAAAGGTGTCTATTGGTATGCTAATGAGGTGACTTTTGAAAGCACCTAAGGTTGCCAGGAGAACTAACCACGTGTTTAAAGGGTTGGAACTTCAAGTCTCACCCCCTGACCTCTGGGGAGGAGAGAGGTGCTGAAGGTTGAGTTTAATGGCCAATGATTTAATCAATCATGCATAAGTAATGACACCTCCATAAAACCCCAAAAGGATGGGGCTTGGAGAGCTTCCAGGTTGGTGAACTTGTGGAGGCTCTGGAGCATAGTGTGCTCTGTATCCCTTTCTCCATGTATCTCTTTTGCCTGGCTTTTCCTGAGTTACATTCTTTTATAATAAATGAGTGATCCAGTAAGTAACATATTTCTCTGCGTTCTGTGAACTGCTCTAGTAAATTAAGCAAACCTAAGGAGAGGGTTGTTTGAACCTCCAATCTATAGCCAGTTGATCAGAAGCACAGGTGACAACCTGGACTTACCACTGGTATCTGAAGTATGGGAAAGGGGGAGCAGTCTTGCAGGACTGAGCCCTTAACCTGTGAACCTGATGCTATCTCCAGGTAGATAGTGTCAGAATCGAGTTGAAATGTAGGACACCCAGCTGGTGTCCAGAAAATTGCTTGTTGGTGTCGGGAACATCCCCCTGCCCCCACACTGGAATTGGTACCAGAACCTGGAGGAGCCTTTTCGGATTGGCTTCTTGCACTTAGTAATATGCATTTAAGGCAGTGGTTCTCAACCTTCTTAATGTCGCGACCCCTTAATACAGTTCCTCATGTTGTGGTGATCCCCAACCATAAAATTATTTTCATTGCTTTTCTATAACTGTAATTTTGCTACTGTTATGCATTGTAATGTAAATATCTTTTTGTTTTCCGATGATCTTAGGCGACCCCTGTGAAAGCGTCGTTCGACCCCCAAAGGGGTCACAACTCACAGGATGAGATCCTCTGATTTAAGGTTTCTCCATGGCTTCTCATGGCTTGATAGTCCATTTCTTATTAGCACTGAATAATATTTCATTGTCTGGATATACCATAGTATATTTACTCATTCACCTACTGAAGGACGTCTTGGTTTCTTCCAAGTTTGGGCCGTTATGAGTAAAGCTGCTACGAACATCTGTGTATAGGTTTCTGTGTGGGCATGTTTTAAACTCCTTTGGGTAAATACCAAGGGACATGATTGCTGGATCACATGGTAGGAGTATGTTCAGTGTGTCCCAGAGCGACTGTGCTGTTTTGCTTTCTCACCAGCAATGAATGATGGTTCCTGTGGCTCTGCATCCTTGCTAACATTTGGGTTGTCAGTGTTCCGGATTTTGACCGTTCTAAAGAATATGCTAAGTAAGTTTTAATATAAGGAAAACAAAATTTACACACACACACACACACACACACACACACACACACTCACACACACACACACCCCTTTGATAGTTTAGTGGTAAAAAAGATAAGTTTAGGAACCTGACCAGGAATGGTCCCAGCTCCATTAATTTTTAGCCATGGCCTTGGACAAATTATTTAACCTCTTCATGTCTTCTTTTATAAACAGGTCATGGTAATGGAAGTTTTATAGCATTTTGAGACAATTCTACCCTCCTCCTACTATAAAACATGTGACACGTGGTTCAGGTCATCTCTCTTTATTATGACAGCATTTCTCTATTATCTCCCCATTGCAATCAATTACTAGCATGAGTAGACTTGACTGTCTGATTTTTCAGGCTATATTTTTAACTTATTTCACAGACTAATGATGAACTAAATCTAAGCTCCTTGCCTTTATTTTATTAGTGGGTATATAGCACATAGACTATAACTTAAAGCAATATAGAATCTAATATTAGATGCTCATTTCATTAATGTTTTTTTAAATGAATTAATGATCAAATCCTCCAATTTGAAAAAACTTGTATGTTATTTAAAAACCCATCAAGTAAACACACGCTGTCCTGACAGTTTATAGATTCCTGCTTAGATCACCCATCCTGGAACATGTTAGAGCTCAGATTTGCAGGTTTCTGTCTCAAAATGTGATGTCTTTCAAAGAGAGTTTATTAAGTTTTTTCACATAAGGAACATACTACATAAATATTGGGTTGTTGGATAAGTCATGACACATTTTACAATGAAAAACAGAAAAAATACGTCATGGCTTTTCCGACAACCCAATAAGTTATGCCCTAATGCAGAATGCTTTCCACACAAGAACCACAAGAAATCTACCAGAAAAGATCATTGAACTTCCACAATTATAACAAATCCTTGAAACAAGCAACATTAATGGCATGGGGGTGGGGTAGGGGTGGGGGAGAAGGAAATAGATCTTAGAGAATTGGTTCAAACCTCAGCCAAAGGAATTAGGAAGCTGGAAACTTGATGGTAGAAGCAAGATTTGCCTGTGTTTATTTCTCAAATAAAAGTAAAGGAAACTATGAACAGTGGGAAAATTCCTTCCACCTCCCCAAAGGGACATAGAAGGGGCCTAGGAAGGCTGTCACCCAGCTTTGCAAACAAGAAACTGAAATACTTATAGGCAGTTTTATTGCCATAAAAATGTGAGCTCTTCCCAAATGTAGCTAATAATGGGTACACTGAGCTAGGACAATTTAATTTTAATTCCAGAACAAACACATCAAATGCTTGGTTTTCCTTAGCCTGTTTTTCTGTTACTGCCATAAATGATGTAAATAGTACATTTTTTTTCTTTGGGAAAAATAACAAAAGTGACTGTGGTTTTTTTGTTTGTTTGTTTTTTAACTCTTCTGTTTGTGTTGATACACTTGACCAGGGAGAAATCTGCCTAACGTATAATGATATGTAAACAACTCAACACGCAACTTGAGGCTGCAAGTTCCTTGAAGATAAGGACCATTCTGGTGTTGTTTTCACATCCTTCAGACTCTGTTCATCCTTCAGACAGCGGTTCTCAACCTTCCTAATGCCACGGCCCCTTAATACAGTTCCTCATGTTGTGGTGACCCCCAACCATAAAATTATTTTCATTGCTACTCTATAACTGTAATTTTGCTACTATTATTAATCGTAATGTAAATATCTTTTTGTTTTCGATGGTCTTAGGCAACCCCTGTGAAAGGGTCATTCGACCCCCAAAGGGGTCGCGACCCACAGGTTGAGAACC